CAGCTGACCACAGGGAGGGCTCTCAGCGGACACTGTGCATTGAACTCAGGGCCAACTCACCCTCACCTCTGAGGTAACTCACCTCTGGATTCCTTAACACATGGGGAAGACCCCAGGCCAGGCTGCTCGCAGCCCCGATCACCTGCCTCCTGGAGTGTGGGGATGAAGGCCCAGGGGCTGTGGGGCTGCTCACAGGCACCCATAAGGCACGCGCCACAGCTTGCCCAGGCCCAGGTGCATCTGCATGCCATGGCTCTGTGGCAGGGTTGGAGCTCAGGGGGTCATGATGATGGGATGGATGCTGCCTTCGTTCTGGCTTACTCCTTCAGACCGACTATCTCTGTAATCCCTGAACAACCCTGTAAGGTAGATGTCACCATCGTTCTCATGAACATGGGTGAAACTAAGCTCAGAGAGGACATGGAAACCGCTAAGTCATTCACTTATCAGGACCCCAGAGGGTCTCAGTCCAGCACACTCTCCCTCAATCCACCCACAGGCTCTATTGTCCGGCTTCCCCCCTTGATCTTCATGAAAAGTGGCCATGACGTCCCCACCAGTGCCCAATGACCCCGTGCAAATCCACCAAAACGATGTCAGATGGATCTCACAAGCCTTGGCTGCAAACACCCTGGGCACACTTCATCTACCACAGATCAGGGCATGAGGTTGGAGGCTTCAACATGAGCATCACCCCCTGTGCTCCTAATTCCAGACCTGACCTCTCCCACCTTTCAGGACATCAACCTCTGACAGCAGACAACTGAGAGACAGCTGTAGCATGGGGACTCACAGGTTATTACTTTTACCTCTAGAACTTCCCCTCCTGCCATTGGATAGAGGCTACCAGAAATCGCCAGTCCAAGCTACTGGCCGTTGCCAAGGGAGGTTGGGCTGTGGAGGCTTCTAGAAAGAGCATTAAGCACTTGCAGACAGAAGGCAAGGCCCAGGATGGGGCAGAGACTCATGGAGACACTCATTGTGAGACAGGTTTCCCCCAGCCCTGCTCTTTCCAGGGGGCCAGGTCTTCAGTGCAGACCGGTCACCAGCTCACCCCAGCAACCTCCCTTGAAGACCAGGACTTCAGGAAGAAAAGTGAGACTCGGGGGACTTTGATTTGGCTGAAGCTCTTCAGCTTGGTAAAATTGTTTTGTACCTTTCGATAACTGGCAGGAGAAAGGCAATGTTTGGTTTTCCTCCTCTTTCTTCATTCCCTGAATCAAGTTACCTTGAAGCCCAAACACTTAAAACTCGAGCACTCTCATGTCACAAAACCCAAACCTGCTCCCAGCCACTCACAGGCCATCATCAAAGCCGGAGCGGAGTGTCCCAGCCCTGGGAGAACATCAGAGTCACCGGGCAGACATCTATTTGCAAGATGGAGTAGCCAGGCAGGAGCTGGGCCACAGGGTTCCTGGACACTGGCCAACAAGCTGCACAGGACCGTGACCCCTGAGAGGGGAAATGAGTGGGGGGGGGCCCAACAACGGTCCCCACCTGGAGGCAGTTTCCACGCTCTGGGAGGGAAGCTCCAGAGACCCAGGGGCCTCTCTGAGCAGGGGTGGCAGAGACAGGAGCCAGGTAACCATGCTTTGTGAAGAGCAAGGAACTGCAAGGAAAGATGACCAGCAGTCGACAGGGACCTCAGGGGTCTTTGGATAAATGCTGACCTGCACCTGCTTGAGAGATAACTACCTGAAGTCAGGAAGAAACAAAGAATAAAAGCTACTAGAAAGCGGTAGGTCAGACATTTGGACCCCACACAGAGCTGGAAAGAGTTCACGTCCCCACCAGCCCAAGTGCAGACTGACCACAGTTGGGGCATCAGGTAGACTCCTCAGAAGGGTCTCGTCTTAATAGCAGAGCTAACTTAGGCTGAGCCTCAGCACCATGGATAACCCTCGGCTGGAGGCACAGCTGCCCTATGCCTTGGCAGGGTGTCAACAGCATCTCTGGTCTCCACTGCTGGAGCCAGGGGCATCTCCCCCCAAGGTATCCCAACCCCAACTGCTTCCAGACATTAACAAATATCCCCATGGTGGGGCACAGAATCATCCAGCAGTCTGACCACTGCTCTGAGTCAGTACCTGCTTTGGACCTCAGCAGGACGGAGCTGTTGCCAAGAGCTTGACCTCCAGCCAGAACAACGTTCAACACCATTCACAGGAATACAGCTAAATCAAGATACAACCAAGCAGAAGCCACAGTGTATCAAATCCAATTTTAAAACTGCCTGGTCTGCAAAAGAGCAAGGCAAGTCAGGAGGAAGATCCCTCAGTAGAAACAGGTATTTCAATGACAGAGACCATGGAATGAGCAGAGCTCCACCTTGGAGAGGCATGGCCAAATCATGACCTCCAAGTACAAAAGCTTTCCCTGGTTCACCTCAAGATAAAGCATGTTACAGGCCATCGCCTATCAGAAGACAGATGGCCTTGGCTTGCAAGCCCCAGCCTGTGCCTACGGTCACAGCGTCTCTGCAGTCAGCTCAGAGCCGCTCACCCGTTCTGGGGACACAAGCATATCACGAACTCTCCGTGGCTCCCTCCTCAAGCTGGTGAAAACGCCCGTGCTCTGCTTCCCAGGGAGCCTTGGAACATGCCCACGCTTGCCCTGGGGACAGCAGGCAGAGCTCAAGTGCGGGCCTAATCCGTGACCCAGTTATGGCTTTGTTGATGTCTGAAATTCAGATGCAGAGGGAGAACTGCCCTTAGCACACCATGTTCCGGTTAGTTGGGGGCATTTTAGAGTCGCTGAGAGCTGGGCTTCGCAAATATGAGCACAAGACTCCCTAGCATCTTGTCTGCTTCCCGCCCTAGCTACCTCCTAGCAAGCAACTTTTCTCCTGGCTCCTGCTGCAGGCAGTGGAAGGAAGGAAGAGGGTGGTGGGGGAGCGTCCCAGGGCCGCAGTTACTCTGCCAGTCCCAAGTGAGAGGAGGATTCTCCAGGCATTCACATCAGGCTATGGTTTTAGAAAAACCTATCTATAGACCTTGCTCTCAACTCAAGCAAATCTGCAGATTCTCACGGGGAAAATTTGAAATCTGTGAGGTTTTCACAGGAACAAGTCTCCCCAAGTCACTTTTACTGGGACTTTTACTGGGAAACCAATTAGATTAAAGAAACAAGTTTATCCCAGTGAACCTGCTCATTCCTCACCCCACTGGATACTGCGTGGTGAAGCCCAGGGCAGGTTGAGGAAGGGCCTCTGAGCTGATGGAAGAGGAGTCACTGGGCCGAGTCCAAGGGCAGCACCCAGAGGCTGTTAATTGGGCTCACTCATCTGTTCAGCTTGGAAAATTGAGCCAGGAGGTTTGCTTCTTCCTGGTTTCCTCAATCTAAATGCTGTTGACATGCCCCAGTGGGAATAAGAAGACTAGTTCAAAGAATATGGAATAATTTAAATTCTGAAATGTTTGCTACTAAAAGTTGAGCAAAGCTCCAAATTCAGAGGCACAGATCCTACCTGATGGTTTTCATATGGGCCTGTCCCAGAGCCCGGAAGCAGACCCCCAGGGACCACCTCTCACACCATAGACGGTGAAAGCAGCCAGTGGTTGGGTCTGTTGTGGGGGAGGGGCCTGGACTCATCTCACACAGGTGGCTCCACTGTGGGCTGTGAAGGATTAAGCCACAGAAAAAAATGTAGCCATGACAATCAGTGTATTCCAGTATTTTACGACCTCCTTTCGAGGTGCACATCATCACCTTCAGTGTGGCTGTGATATTGAGAAAATAGATGAAGTTTATGCATGAAAAAAAAAATGGGAATGCAAGACAGGTTTAAAGTAGAGCCATGAACACTATTGTAAAATGCACGAAACAATGATTCGACAAGTTTTTTCCTCTCTGGAGGACTGAAAAATAACCTCAGTAAAAATTATAGAAAGATAAAATTCTGTCCCCATCTGATTAATTACTTGTGAATAATAACATCTCTGGTTTCTTTCAATTATATTCTAACTGCACACCTTTTGCTCTGGTTGATTGGGCAATGAAGTAATGAACAACTATTACTGAATTTAATTAACACCATTATTTCTGTGGCCTTTCCATCTCTGTTGTGAACATGGAAATTCAGACTCCCGGGGCTGGGGCTGGAAGAAGCCTGCCATGAACCCTGCTAAACCTGTTCCTTCCACATTGAGCTGGCTCCTTTCTGCCAAGCATGGGTAACAAAAGATCTGAAGTATTTGCCAGCATTCATGAGAAGGCTCTCCTAATAACAGCATCAATATTCAGAAAGGTTAGCTTTTCATAAAGCATTAGCAATTTGCATGTTGCATTTATCAAAAGAGATGGGCAACTGAGCTACCTAGGAGTCAATTACAATGTCATTCATAATTTATTCCATGTACAATAAAGAGCTGATCAGATTTCATGTGTGTTTATTTTCTGAAGATAACTGCTTGTGGCTGATACCAGTTGCAGAATACAAATATATTTTAGAGTAGTGTGTCTATTTCACTTGGACGTTTTAAGTCTCCAAAGTTCTCCTTTTTACAACAGAGTTTCTATGCTTGGAAATGAGAGCTCACCCTCAAAAAATAGAAGTCTATCCCAGACTCATCTCATTTTAACTGGATCAAGCAAGCCATACAGATTCTCCCAAATAACAAATCAGGAAACAAATAGGAATTTGTTTTTCAAGACAGAGCTTACAGAGCTAAGAATTCCTAGCTCACAGAGTGCCCGGCAGTTTCTAAATGTGGATACTATGACCCACTGCAGAAGCCTTTGGAGAGCTATTAAATGTTTGTAAATGCAGATGATTGCCATGTGTAAGGTACATTCATCTAATGTGCACCCCCCCAAACCACCAACAAGTTGCAAAAACTGGAATAAATTAAAAGATAAAAAATTCTTCTCCATATCCCCTGGGAAAGACTACAACATATGAGATTAACGTATTAGACCAGATCAACACCTGCACTGTCAGAGGACACACAGCAGCTGCATCTCTTGGTGCGCAGACAGCTCCCCACCCAGTCTGGCCGTACCTCATATCTGCTGGCTGGCTGCTCTGCCGTCTTCAGGCCTTGACACAAGTGGATGATACAAACTTTGGCTCTTCTCTGGGAGGGAAACCAGTTACTCTTCACAAAATCCATGACCATCACATGGTTTTTCAACTCTGTACTAAACGTCTTTATTTGAAAAGTCTGATCAGCAGCTGTTCCCGCATGGCCAGCAGCGAGCCCCTCCCGAGGAGAGGTGCTAGGCGTCCCGGAATGCAGCATGACACTCGGAATCTTGTGACTTCAGTGAGCTGGCCTGGCAAACACAATTTTCTTTGTTTCATCCAGGTATTGAGTGCAGCAGGAGGGGTTTGGGAAGTGCCTGCTGGGGCATCTCTGCATTTCCCCTCCACAGCTGCGCTTCCGAGATCCCGTGGTGAAAGTGACCAACGTGGACGCAGAAACCTCGCAGGTGATCTTTACATGCCACAAAAACCTTCTCAGGCTGCGATCTGACCAACTCCAGCCTCACCTCACGCCTGAGCCCTTGGGTCACTCTGTCTTCTCTGATTTCAAAGAAACATTTTTCTTTGCCGCTGCATTCAAGTTCTGAACGAAGAATTTGCCTGGTTACCAAGAGGCTCAATGTGCTTTTCCGTCTCTAGGCCCTTAAATCCAAATAAATTATTTACAGAGCTTGGTGCAAAGGAACCAGGAGGGATAATTGCAGCTTTTTCAGAATTCCTACTTTTTCTGGCCAGGACTGAAAGGAAAAAGTACACACTGCCTACTGACACAAAGAGTGTCCTCAGCCCTGGAGAAGATAAGAGACACATTCAAGGCATAGAGAGAGCTCCCGGCACACAAGAGACGGCTGCGCGTGGGCATGGGAACCCAGTGCAAGTGCGAGAGGCTGCACTAGCTCTGTGGGGCTGTGGTCCTTCCAACATGGACGGCCCCTGGCGGGCTGAGCCTCGGTTTCCCCAGGAAGAATGGCGGAATAAAAAAGCGCTGTCTGCCACCCACAGGGCTGCTGCTGAGATGTGGTGAGCTGTAAATAAGGAAAGACCACGTGTAACAGAGTCGCCATGGACGGGGTTCTCCTGGTACGGTAGCACATATTCTGCCCAAATTATTTTGCACAGCTCTCTCACAGCACACATGATACAGTGCAATGTGGCATGGTGGTAAAAATGATTGGAGTCTGAATTTCAAAACATTTGGAAATGCAGAGCAAGACGCACGTCCCACTTTTTATGTTGCATGTTTGGGTGCCTTATCTATTCGGCTAGTATTTTAGAGGTGAAAATGAAAAGTCTGGATCAAGGGTGTACACCAGGAGGAAGCAGATGACAAGCACTAAAATGGTTTCAACTCTTCTCTGAAGGCTACTTCCTTTGGCTTTCCACAAAGATGAACCCCTTGAAAACTCAATTCACCTGCCCACATCGCAAGCCATGGGGGAGGCTGATGAAGGGCCTGGACAACGTTGCTGGAAGTGGACATGCAGATCCTTGCCCAGCACCTTACTCCTTCCTGCTGTGGGTCGGAGGTTTGCAAATCAGCTCAACTAGGACTTGGGCAATGGCAAGCTAAACCTCCACCTTCAGAGGCAACAGAGAGGTTGAATCTGAAAGTAAAACATGGAAAAGATAGAGGAGACTTCAGAGGCCATTACAGCCACGTGCTTCATCTGAGTGTGAAGAAAGCCAGACCATAGAGATTAAATGTGGGCCAAATTCAGAGCGGTGTTCCCCGTTCCTTCAACAGAACACGCCCGCTTCTGCCCATGGGTCTCCTAAGGACGTCCATGCCTGTGTCAAGGCCCAGCGGGGGGCAGTTTGGTGCACTGAGAGCCATGCAGGAAACCCCCCAGTGAGCTACACTGTGGAGGTCCATCTCGGACTTGGACGCTCTGTGGTAAAGATGGCCAAGGAAGAAATGCGGGCAATGAAGAAAATAAACAAGGACCTCAAAGAAAGAGGAACTCTGCCCTCCGGTTTAGGCCTGTGAGAGCCAGTGCCTGGGCCCCCAAGTCATCATCTGAACCAGCTCATGGTGGTGGCTCTGTTCCCAGAACCCTGCAGGTCTGATAGCACCACCACACCCATGCTGAAGAACCCTGGGCAGGTGGAGGCCACCGGGACTGCCCACCAGCTCTCCAAGATGGGGAGAGAGGTTTGCTGAGGGTTGATTGACTGACTCTGAGTGAAGGCCACGTGTCACCGGCTGTCCAGAGGTTCCAGAGTCACCAAGGCACTGGGTGACTTTTCCCTCTCCCTGGACTGCAAGTGGTGGACTTTAACTGGCCAATGTGGCCACAAGAGGAAACTGCAGCATGGCCTTGGGAAGGCCACCAGAATTCTTGGCCACAAGGGCTGGATAGAAGCCTTGGGATCATAAACCAACCCCCTCATAGAGGGAAGAAATGGAAGCCCAGAGGGAGGGAAGTTTGGCTAAGGGGTCAGCAGGCTGGAAAGGGCCCAGATGGATAGCTGGGGATGGGTTTGCACGTAGGCCCCAGGACACTAGCATGTGGTGTGGACACGGCCTCTCCCCTCCAGCTTCAGTCCCTCTTACCCACAAGCCCATGGCCATTCTAATACTCTGGAGCTGAGGTATCTGCCCAGACCGTGAGCAGACGTTCGTCAGGAGAGAGCAGCTCCCCACCTGGGGCAGGCCCTCCTCCGGCCCAGCAGGGCGGTGCCCTCCACAGTCCACTCACTGTGCCTCTTGAAGCAGGTCTCTGAATCAGGAGAGCAGAGCTCCCTCTGGCTCTCACAGCGCCCCCTCGCGTGCTGTGTGAGCTCTCCTTGACTCGGGCTCCCTGTCCATACCACAGGAGACGGACCTAGCTTCTGTGGTGGGCTACCATGAGGACTCACAGAGCCTGGCACGGTGTGTGCCATCGCCCAAGGGGCAGAGACCTTAGAAACAATAACAGCTGGAAGCATCGTTTTGATACTTAAAAGATACAATTGCTAAGGACAAAGAGGAACTGCCCTCATCTCCAGGACCCCCTGCGCCAGGCAGTGGCACCCAGAAGTGGGGCAGGGGGCCAGCCTTGATTTCCTCAAATGAGAAGCAGAGACAGTGCCTGAGGAGACTGCTGAGGGCAGGAGCTAGCTGCTGTATGGGAAATGGTTTTATAAATAATGTATCTTTAAAGTCTTTCGACGCAGATTTTTAATGCCAGCACCAAAAGACAGCAGGGGACCGTCCCTTGCAGGAATGCACCCTGAGCTAGTTCCCACTCATAGAACCCAAAGTCAGTCTCTGCTAGTCATGGAGCACGAAGGAGCCAGGCAACGCCCTGCCACTGCGACCCCTTACTCTGCTCAAGGACATGGAATACTTTGTGGTGTGCTCAGAGCCCTGTCCTTGGAACCCTCCCCTGCCTCCATCCCAACATCCCCTAAACCCCCATGGGAGCTGGCCTATCTTACACCACTGCATGTCCCACTCACTGGCTGGCCAGGGGTGGACATCTGGCTCAAATGGGGCTAGTTAGACTCTATCCTCATGTGGCCTAGCTGTCTGCATGCCCCCCAAATTCACGTATTAAAGCCCTGACCTCTGTGTGGGAGAGGGGCCTTCAGGAGGTGGTGAGGCTTAAATGAGTCCACAAGGGTGGGGCCCTCATAATGGGATTAGTGGCCTTAGGAGAAACAGAAATCTCCTCTTACCTCCTCTCAGAAATGCACGTGGAAGGCTATGTGAGGACAAGGTAAGACAGTGGCCACCAGCGAGGCAGAAACCATCATCCCTGGGGACCTAATCGCCTGGTACAATGACCTCAGACTTCCAGCCTCCAAAATATGAGAAATACTCACCAAGCACTTAAACCCCAAGTCATGGCATTTTCTCATGGCAGCCCAAGCTGGCTGAGACAGTCCCGGAGGACCTTAATACTGGCTTCACTTGACTGACCTAGGAAGGGACACCCAGCCCACAGGAGGCCAATCCAAGGCTCTCCTGGAGCACCTGGATCCTGGGACTGCACAGGTATGGGAGGCCGGCTCTATGAGATGGCATGTGTTGGGGACTGTTGGTGCAGGTGGCAGCTGTCACAGAGAGGCAGCAGCCAGAGATGGGAGCATTGATGGTGCTAAAGCCCTGGCTCCTGTCCAATCTCATCCTGTCTGGGGTTCATGAGAGATCCTGATGCTTTATAACCCTTTCCCCATAAGACGTAAGTGACTTGACTGGGGTTCTATACTTGCAACTAAGAGAGCGTGGGCTATTCTTTGAAAATCCACACATTAAAAGGATACAGAGTGCTTCTGTGCCAGGCCATGGCAGATAACAGAGACCTAGCGATGAAAGGGGCCCTCCATATCCATGAGGTTCACTGCTCTGCAGTGGGACTGAGGCCTTGACCAGCAGCCAACACAGGAGCAGGTGCACCCCTGTGAAGGGGGCCCCGAGAATCTCTAGGAGAAGGGACGTGACTGGTGACTGGCTGGCAGCTGAACTCTGCGGCTGGCATTGCAGGGCCAAAGTCAACTCTAGACATCCCCCTCCACTCTCGTCACACATCTCGTCCTAAAGCATTCAGGGCTGAGGATGGAGAGGCCGAAGTTACTGCTTGTTGCAAACAACTTCCTGGGTCCTCTGCTGTTCTTTTCCTAAAACAAGTAACTCAGCCAACTATAAAAGCGAGACCTCTGATCTTGTTAACATCCTGCGGATGATCCCATTTAATTTCCTTTAAACTGGTCCCTGGGGTGACAGGCGGAAACTAGCATGGTCCATGATTACCATCCAATGACACCAAATCTACACCAGTGCACCTTGAAATGTGTTTACTGCTGAAATACACGGAGAATGAGTCCATCCCTCCCCCTTGCTCCTGGTACAACACGCTGGGCTGAAGGATAGGCATTGAAGTATTTAAATAATGAATTATTCAAAAAGAAAAGGAACTGCAGGTACCTGATGCCAGAAATTCATGCCTGTGAATTCTTAATCTGTTCTCCAATGGGATTAGCATTTACAACTGTGAAGGATGTCCTAATTATGCAGCTTCAGAGTTGATTTTCTGCAGGGCCTACACACATCTAAAAAGCATTAGGCAACAATAAAAACAGATGACTGTGAATTTCGGAATTCATAATTTAGTTTCCCTTTTGGGGGGAAATGACATTTTTATTTATGGGCACTTCACTCATCAGGTGGCTCCTGAAGTTCTTCTTCCTCGGAGGCCCACTGCATCTGATCACAGACACGGAGGCGCTCCAGGCTGCAGACAGGATGGTGCGGCCATTCCCTGTCCCATGTGTCCCTGCGGCTCCGGCACAGGAATAAGGCAAGAGGATCAAGGATCACGTGGCTCATGACAGGATCTGTGCTGTCAGCCGGGCGAAGCTCTATGATCCCATCCTCTCGCCACCCCTCTCAGCCCTGCTCAGTCACAGCCTGGATGTGCTGGGAAAGACACTATCCCTTCAAGTCACCGGAGGCTCCGAGAATTCTCATTCAATGAAATTGGAAGGAAATTAAAAAGGATCCATGATCTCACATGTGTACCTATCTCTGTTCTGTAATCAGAAGACGTTTTTCTACTTCTTGTACAATGTTCAGAAACCATGCCGACTTGATATTTGGGAGTGGGGGGCGGGCACAGGAGAAGCTGGAGCAGGAACCTGGCAATCTTGTCCCAATTACCCAGGATATTCACCTGTTCCCCACTTGGGCAGGCAATCGGTAATCATTTATTTAGCACCCACTGGTGTCCAGAGCTGTGCCAACACTCCAATAAAATATTCAAAGCCACTTCTAATGTTGCCAAAAACCATATATCTCT